TTGAGTACAGTATTGTAGTGATTATCCAAGGTATGGTGAGCCAGCGGATAATCAACTGGAACTCACCTGAGCATTTAGGTGCAGGTGGTAATGATGTTCAGCTTAGTGATGCTAGAAGATCTGGAGTTAGCATCAAAGCAGTTGTGACATAGTCGAGGTCGCGTTATCCAAGGCTTCAATGTCACAATTTGGATCAGCATGAAGATTCTCCATACAGCGTGCAGACTGGTAGTATGTCCTTGAATGAGACAGCGAAGTGTTTTCGTCTCAGTCATCAATATTCATGCTATATATTGGTTGCCTGGTAATAATTAACCAGACTAGGCCAGACAAACCAGTGCATCACATCAATAGAGCCAATGTCACCAAACCCCTACCCAGTTGTCATCATCTCTTCAAAGGATGCTGTGAACTATCAAAGTTGTTTTTATTTGTTGATGGTATTTTCTCTTCATTCATTTTGTTCTTTCCATTGCCTACCACAGGTCATCTGACATGTCGTCGGTATTCAAAGGCGGTCAAACACCTGGTGAGTCCCTCCAGTTGGGGCTGTGTGGGTTAGGGCTCGGTGGTCAATCCATTCCTTCATTCTTCAGAAAGATAAATATTCATAAAATGTCTGCAGCAAACACGATTGGTTAAAAATCTTCATCCTTCACTACCCCAAAACCTTTGATAATTTTCAGGGCCATTCTTTTGGCAATATGAAATTCAGTATCATATCATTAGGTTGACCAGTATGTATCCAATCAGTTGGTATTTCTATTTCCATTTCTGTGTTGAAATTCCATTCCATATTTAAATTGGGGTTTGAGCTCCACTAGAATATTCCGTTCAAATGATGACTCTATGTATCTGTGGCTCACTTGTTAGCCCAGACTTGGCTGGTTTTCCATGTCAGCTCACTGGGCCACCATGCCACAGTTTCATTTGAATACCACTTTCGGTCGCATTATGTCCACTCTCAGCCAATCTGGTTGTCCTGTACATGTTAATGCCGGTGTGCCAGACAGGGACCAACATGTCCATGTCTTATCCATCCATACATTCCATTTTCTCATTCTCTCTCTCCCATCTCTCATTCTCATTCATCTTTCCATCCCATTCTCTCTCCCATCTCCATTCTGTCTCTCCCCATCACTCCATTCTCTCCCAATCTCCTCATTTCTCTCCATCCACTCATTCTCTCCATTCTCTCCATTCTCTCCATCCTCTTCCACTCATTCCTCTCTCCTCCACTCCCTTCTCTCCATCTGTCTCTCCATCCACATTGTCTCTCCATCATTCCATCCCATTCCTCTCTCCATTCCTCTCCATTGTCTCCATCACTCATTGTCTCTCCATCCATTGTCTCCCATCCTCATTGTCCATCCATTGTCTCTCCATCACCATTGTCTCCATCACCATTGTCTCCTCCATTGTCTTTCCATCCACTCATTGTCCTCCACTCATTGTCTCCATCCACTCATTGTCTCCTCCATCATGTCTCCATTGTCATTGTCTCTCATTGTCCTCTCCATCCTCCATTGTCTCCATTCCATTGTCTCCATCCATCCATTGTCTCTCCATCCACTCCATTTGTCTCTCCATCCATCTCATTGTCTCTCCACTATCCATCTCTCCATCCATCTCTCCTCTCCATCCTCCATTGTCTCTCCATCCCATTGACTCTCCATCCATCTCCATCATTGTCATTCCATCCCTCCATTCTCTCCATTGTTCTCCATTGTCTTTCCATCTCCATTGTCTCTCCATCCTCCATGTGTCTCTCCATCCATTGTTTCTCTCCATTCCACTCCATTGTGTCTCCATGTCTCCATCCATTGTCTCTCCATCCATCCATTGTCTCTCCATCCATCTCACTCATTGTCTCCATCCATCACTCATTGTCTCTCTCCATCAGTCTCATTGTCTCTCCATCCACTCATTGTCTCTCCATCCATCCACTCCATTGTCTCTCCATCCATCTCTCCATCATCCATGTCTCTCCCATCCTCCATCCATCCATTGTCTCTCCCATCCATGTCTCCATTGTCTCTCCATCCATCCACTCATTGTCTCTCCATCCATCTCCATTGTCTCCATCCATCCATTGTTCTCATCTCTCCATCCATCTCATTGTCTCTCCTCCATCCACCATTGTCTCTCCATCCATCCATTGTCTCTCCATCCATCCATCCTCCATCCATCCATCATTGTCTCTCCATTCCATTGTCTCTCCATCCATTGTCTCACCATCCGTCTCCATCATGTCATTGTCTCTTTGTCATCCATCCATTCCTCCATCATTGTCTCATTGTCTCCATCCACTCATTGTCTCTCCATCCATTTCTCCATTGTCTCTCCATCCATCCATCCATCCATCTGTCATTGTCCATCCACCATTGTCTCTCCCACTCCATCCATCCATTGTCTCCATCCATTGTCTCTCCATCCATCTCATTGTCTCTCCATCCATCCATCCATCCATCCATTGTCTCTCCATCCATCCACTCATTCTCTCCATCCATCTCCACTCATTGTCTCTCCATCCATTGTCTCCATCCTCCTCCATCTCATTGTCTCTCCATCCATCTCTCCACATCCATTGTCTCCTCCATCCATCCACTCATTGTCTCTCCATTGTCACTCATTGTCTCTCCATCCATTCCATCTCCATCATTGTCTCCATCCATCTCATTGTCTCTCCATCCATCTCCATTGTCTCTCCATCCACATTGTCTCCTCCTCCATTGTCTCTCCATTGTCTCTCCCATTGTCTCTCTCCTCTCCATCCCTCCTTGTCTCCTCTGTCTCTCCATCCATCTCCATCCATCTCTCCACTCATTATCTCTCCATCCATCCGTCATTCCATCTCTCCATCCATTGTCTCTCCATCCACTCATTGTCTCTCCACTCATTGTCTCTCCATCCTCCTCCCTCCATTCCATTGTCCATCCATCCACTCCATTGTCTCTCATTGTCTCCATCCATCCACTCATTGTCTCTCCATCCACTCCATTGTCTCTCCATCCATCCCATTGTCTCTCCATCCATCTCACCATTGTCTCCATCCATCCACTCCATTGTCTCTCTCCATCCATCTCATTGTCTCTCCATCCCACTCCATTGTCTCTCCATCCATCCTCCATTGTCTCCATCCATCCACTCATTGTCTCTCCATCCATCTCATTGTCTCTCCATCCATCCCTCATTGTCTCTCCATCCACATCCACCATTGTCTCTCCATCCATATCTTCATTGTCTCTCCATCCTCTCCGTCCATCCACTCATTGTCTCTCCATCCATCCCTCATTGTCTCTCTCTCCATCCATCTCATTGTCTTCTCTCCATCACATCCACTCATTGTCTCTCCATCCATCACTCATTGTCTCTCCATCCATCCTCCATTGTCTCTCCCATCCATCACTCATTGTCTCTCCATCCACATCACTCATTGTCTCTCCATCCATCTCACTCATTGTCTCTCCCATCCATCCACTCATTGTCTCTCCATCCATCACTCATTGTCTCTCCATCCATCCTCTTGTCTCTCCATCCACTCACTCATTGTCTCTCCATCCATCCACTCATTGTCTCTCTCCATCCACATCACTCATTGTCTCTCCAATCCATCCTCTCATTGTCTCTCCCATCCATCACTCCATTGTCTCTCCATCCCATCCTCCATTGTCTCTCCACATCCACTCCATCCACTCATTTTCTCTCCATCCATCACTCATTGTCTCTCCCATCCATCACTCATTGTCTCTCCATCATCACATCACTCATTGTCTCTCCATCCACATCACTCATTGTCTCTCCACTCCGTCCACATCACTCATTGTCTCTCCCATCACATCACTCATTGTCTCTCTCCATCATCTCATCCATCCACATCTCTCATTGTCTCTCCATCCATCACTCATTGTCTCTCCCATCCACATCACTCATTGTCTCTCCATCCATCCACTCATTGTCTCTCCCATCCATCACTCATTGTCTCTCCCATGTCTCCATCACTCATTGTCTCTCCATCCAATCACTCATTGTCTCCCATCCATCCACTCCATTGTCTCTCCATCCATCACTCATTGTCTCTCTCCATCTCCATCACTCATTGTCTCTCCCATCATATCACTCTCATTGTCTCTCCCATCACACTCATTGTCTCTCCCATCACATCACTCATTGTCTCTCCATCATCACATTGTCTGTCCCATCACATCACTCATTGTCTCTCCATCCACATCCACTCATTGTCTCTCCCATCCACATCACTCATTGTCTCTCCATCACTTTCATTGTCTCTCCATCCATCACTCATTGTCTCTCCATCATCTCACTCATTTGTCTCCATCCATCTCCATCATTGTCATCCATCACTCATTGTCTCTCATTGTCTCTCCCATCCACATCACTCATTGTCTCTCCCATCACATCACTCATTGTCTCTCCCATCACATCACTCATTGTCTCTCCATCACATCACTCATTGTCTCTCCAATCACATCTCATTGTCTCTCCCATCACATCACTCATTGTCTCTCCCATCACATCTCACTCATTGTCTCTCCCATCACATCACTCATTGTCTCTCCCATCACATCACTCATTGTCTCTCCCATCACATCACTCATTGTCTCTCCCATCACATCACTCATTGTCTCTCCCATCACATCACTCATTGTCTCTCCCATCACATCACTCCATTGTCTCTCCATCACATCACATTGTCTCTCCCATCACATCACTCATTGTCTCTCCCATCACATCACTCATTGTCTCTCCCATCACATCACATTGTCTCTCCCATCACATCTCACCTATTGTCTCTCCCATCACTCATTGTCTCTCCCATCACTCATTGTCTCTCCCATCACTCATTGTCTCTCCCATCACTCATTGTCTCTCCCATCACTCATTGTCTCTCCCATCACCCATTGTCTCTCCCATCACTCATTTTCTCTCCCATCACTGATATCATTGAGATACTGATCAACACAGCATTAATCCCTGTGGACTGACTCCAGGCACTAACCTTCACACTTGGGGATGTTCAGGTCTGGTATGAAGAGGCTGCCATACTTCTGGAGGATCATTGAGACATTATGGTATGAACAGCCCATGTTCTCCATAAAACATCCAAAAGTGGCGGTCAATTTGCTGAAAGCCAATGATAACACAGTAGTCGATAATAACAAGAGACTAAACCTACAAATCTTCAAGACATTTGCAGAATTATGTATCAAACTAGAAACAGTTGACAAAAAAATATTGAAAAGAAAACAATAACTGAATTCAGAGTTCAAGGATTAAAAATGTTGTCTAAAATATGCCTTCAAATTGAAAATAATTAAGAGAACATACTGTGGCAGGTGTATTTTAGTATAAATATATTATTTTAATCTTCTTCTTATTAGTCTCTCCTTTTAACTATATTATTATGAGGCACTTTAAGGGTTAAAGCTTTAGAGCTTGGCCACACACAGACTAATTGCCCAAGCCATGATGCTTCTCAGCTGATTGGTCTCACTTCATGCACAATTTGACACATTCTGCCCTGCCTCTTTGCCACGATAAGAGAGAGTGGATAGACACACAGTGTAGCATTAAGGTTAATATTTATCTAACTAAAGTAATATTGCATTTAAGCCTTGCAGTATCTTTATAATAAACGTATATCTATTTATTATCCCTTTAACAGTAATTACATTGTATAGCATGTAAGTGTGCTATATGTAATTGTGTTAGCTTTCCAATCGGACCAATCCTAAGCTATAAACATAAATATCGCTAATATATCCTTATCTTTACTATCCTTTCACTGAATGTGTGAGAAGAGAGAATGTGTTTTTTTAATACAAGTTGCCATGTTTTAACTGTGATAACTATAAGTGTAATTATCAATGTGTGGAAGTAATTTTATGTTCATGAATGTAGCCCTAAATCTACTCCACATTATCTTGCATAGTATTTATTATTATTCATAACAGATAAGTCCCCGTGCATATGACTGTTGCTGTGCGTGATTGTCGTGCACCCTTGTACCACCCACAGGGTATGTGTATGTCTATTTTATATCCATGTATTTGTATATCTATGGAAAACTTATATAGCGCTACATCCAGAAATAAACTGCTCTGCAGTGCTTGAGACTCTGATGGAAAGTTAGTTGTATGCTTCACAGAAGTAATGAGTCTTTAGATGTGATTTGAATGAGTCCAGATTGTGGTTAGATCTCAGGTGTTGTGGGAGTTGATTCCACAAGTTTGGTCCGGCAATTTGGAAACAACGGCTGGTGATGCGACTGGTTTTTAGTGCAGGTGGCTGAAGGAGAAACTGGTGAGAGGATCGAAGAGACCTGACAGGTTGATATCTGGTTATCATGCTGGAGAGATACGGAGGGGCTTGAATATGCAGACACTTGAAGACAAGCATCTTTGTATATGATCCCCTGTGGCACTGGCAACCAGTGTCGTTTGTATATAGTACCATCATGTAATGCATGGTGATGAAACATGTGTATGTTATCATTACGACTAATGTGTAATGGTGTGTTATTATCTATCTGGTGTGTAATACATTGTATGCATGTACATGTATTATCATTACGTTATGCGTAATGATGTAATTTCATAATTCCCATATATTCCATATGTGTAATAAGTAAAGTTATTCATGTTTTAAAGTACCTACAATATTATTGGTAATTATCCATATGTATTAACCCATGTATGGAATTATATGTATCTTGTATGAATTTGTGTGAGATGTATAGTATATTATTATATTTGTTGTTACAGGGTGTCGTTTAACGATCAAAGTACAATCTCTCATCCTCCCAAAATAAACGACCTCACACCCCAGCAGAGTGTTGGTAATCTTTGCCTGACGTTGACCCTGCTATAATACAGCTTCTTGGATCACAAGTTCCTGTATATTTATTTAGCAGCATTTTGATGAAGATTCTTACACTGTTATGAAGATGCTTTCTTTACCTGTATGGTACTTGCTATTATTATCATTATTAAGTAAGTTTAGTTTTACACCACTTTTATCAATATTCCAGCAATATCACAGTGGGGGACACTAAAAATGGGCTTCACACGTTGTATCCATGTCGGGAATCAAACCCAGGTCTTCAGCGTGATGAGCAAACGCTTTAACCACTAGGCTACTTCTCCACCCCTATTGTCATCATAATCTGTTGTTGCTTTTCACATATCACATATACATACGTCCCATTACTTTGTTGTAATCACTTCTGGGTGTTGTTGTCCAAAACCATAGCGCTACCACAGTCATAAGCCTATGTTAAAGTATGGGAGTTACGATCACCTTAGAGCTAAGACTGTTGTAAATCTATGTTATAGTATGGGAGTTATGATCACCTTAGAGCTAAGACTGTCGTAAATCTATGTTCAGGTATGGGAGTTACGATCACCTTAGCGCTAAGACTGCCGTAAGTCTATGTAAGGTATGAGAGTCATGATCACCTTAGTGCTAAGACTGCCGTAAGCCAATGTTAAGGTATGGGAGTTACGATCACCTTAGCGCTAAGACTGTCATAAATCTATGTTATAGTATGGGAGTTAAGATCACCTTAGTGCTAAGACTGTCGTAACCCAATGTTATAGTATGGGAGTTACGATCACCTTAGCGTAACGACTGTCGTAACCCAATGTTATAGTATGAGAGTTACGATCACCTTAGTGCTAAGACTGTCGTAACCCAATGTTATAGTATGGGAGTTACGATCACCCTAGTGCTAAGATCACTCGACGACACCATGGCACTCTGCTTGACAACATCTGAACATCTCTAAATGCAATAAACATGAAGTTGTTATCCAGTTTTTTATGTTTAATGATTTACTGAAGAACTTCTAGAATACCAATTGTACAGCAGTCAACATGACTATATTTACCTGCATGCGGTTCCTTCCACTTTGTCGACCTTGACCTTGCACTTGTATCTCCAGATGTAGCTGTACTCGTTAACATTCAGGCATGATGGGTAATATGTGAAAGGGGCCACAGTGGATAGTTCTATTTCTCCACCTTCTGAAATAATATAAACAGGGTTACAGAAACACAGTACTCAAAATTCAACATAGAGCATATCTAACAATGTTTGCTTGATAACAAAAGGTGAATCTGATGATTGCTTGAAACTAAAAGGTGAATCTGACAATGTTTGCTTGACAACAAATAGTGAATCTGACAATGTTTGCTTGACAACAAATAGTGAATCTGACAATGTTTGCTTGACAACAAATAGTGAATCTGAATGTTTGCTTGACAACAAATAGTGAATCTGACAATGTTTTCTCAATAACAAATAGTGAATCTGACAATGTTGCTTGAAAACAAAGCAAATTTGACAATGTATGCATGATTACAAAAGGCGAATATGACAATGTTGGCTTGATTAGAACTTACTTGTGCACTGGGTTACATTAAAGCCATTCATATGGAGCACGAAGAATGCACTGTTTTCTACAGCCATAGTGTTGAGCTGAGCCTTTTTACAGTTGTAGTTCATTCTACTGAGAACAAGGACTCCACAACCCAGCATGTACTCGTAGTGCCTGCAAGGAGATTACATCAAGAATTAATTAACAATAAAGCAGTATTTATTTAGAGTGAGTCAGTGAGTTGGGTCTCACTGGATCTCCTCAGTGTGTGTCTCCCAAAAAATGTTGTTAAAGCTAGCAATAACAACACACACGAAAATCACTATGTTCTGGAGTTCTACATGGCCAAGCATCATATAAGAAAATATTATGAGTGAGTGGGTATGGTTTTACGCCACTTTTAGCAATATTCCACTAATATCACGGCAGGGGACACCAGAAATGGGCTTCACACATTGTACCCATTTGGGGAATCGAACCCTGGTCTTTGGTGTGACAAGTGATCACTTTAACCATTGACACAAACATGTATTGCTTACCAAGTTAAGGATGATGTGCCTTGTTCAGGGTTGCACTCAAGATAGGGTATATAAATTAGTGTTGATTTTGATGGTTTGAAACAGGGAGTCGCCTTAAAAGGCGGGTCATTTTATATATGACAATATGTGGTAATTAAAAATATATGAAGACAGTATTCATTAAGGGTGAGAATCAGTGAGTTGTTGGGCACAACAACTTAAATATATTTATTAGTGAAATATAACTGACGTTTGCAAAACAAGTTGGTTTTTTTGTTTATAGCTTAAGGCTTCACTCAGCAATATTCAAGCTATATGAAGGCTTTCTGTAAATAATCAGCGGCCCGTTCCTCAAAACGATCGTAGCAATGATCGTAACTCCCATACTTTAACATAGACTTACGATAGTCATAGCGCTATGACAGCTTTGTGAAACTGGGCCCTGGTCTGGACCAGACAATCCAGTTATTGACATAAGAATCCATCTACGAAATTGGGATACGACATGCATCAACCAAGACAGCGAACCTGAACACCTGATCCCGTTAGTTGCCTCTTATATTGAGCATTTGCTGCTGCTGACCAATTCCAAAACAGATCTTCATGGATCTTGCATAAAAACAATAGCACCAAGTTTAAAATATTACTTTTATAATCATCTGAATAGGTCAGTGTTAAGTTTTGCTTGGCACCATGTTTTTGTTCACAAGGGCATTCTTGGTTAGTCTGGGGTTGATGGGTTGTATATGCATGTTCATCAAGTTGTGTTTGCATCAGAACCAGAAACGGATTAATGCAGCACTTGAATTCACAATGACATTTAGAAAGTGGTCAAATATATTTAAAATTACACTTTCTCAGTTTAGTACAGATTTGCAGAGTCATCCACCTAATGGCCAGTATGCAACAGCAGTGACCCAACCCACTAAACCACCACAACAATTGGTAGTCTAGATCACATACTCTGTGTACCCTATGACAAGTAAATTGGCATTATTCCCATGGGTAAAAGATATGAATACACAATGTCTTTTCAAAAGAGGTCAAATGGAACCTTTTATTGGGAGTACGCTTCCTCAGCCACAGTGGTAGAGGGAGTTGGATGTGCTGGTGATTAGCTGCCTGACTCTGACATTCTGTATGTTCGAATCCTGGATGCGACTCAGCCATAAAATACTAGAATCTGTACTTTACTAATGAAGTGAAATCCAACATATACAAATACAATACACCAAATGTTATCTGAATAGAAAAAACACCACAGGTCATGTTGCATATAATTCCTGTAACCACTTCATCAGTGTCTATAGTTATTGACCTTATGATGTGTACTCACTTGCAGCGTGCATCAGCATCTGTTTCCATGTAGATTGTTGCTATGACATCAGCACATTGTTCGGAAATAACGCTAACCACCTCTGTGAATGCTGGACAAGGCTGCTTCCCTTTATCTATCGAACAATGAGTGAGTGAGTTCAGTTTTACACCACTATTAGCAATATTCCAGCAATATCAAGGTGGGGCATACCAGAAATGTGTTTCACACATTGTACTCATGCGGAGAATTGAACCCAGATCTTCCGCGTGATGAGCAAACACTTTAACCATAAGGCTAGTCCACCTTCCCACAATGGAGGTGAGGTGAAATTGGGTTTAACGTCGTGCTTGAGAATATTTCGCTTATATGACGACGTGCATGCATGTGTATGTGCGGCTGCTTGTACTAGCCCAGACTGAAGCTGGTTTTATAGTGCTAGCCCGCTGAGAAACCATGCCGCAGTGAAGCATGAATACCCGACTCAGACACATTATACTGACTCCGAGCCGACCAGTCCTTGATGTACCCATTAATGCCGAGCACCAGCCCACAATGGAACAAGGACAGGAAGGTATGCAAAGGTTGTAGACGTGCACATCCTAATTTAAGTGAAAAGTCCTTAATATGCAAGGGATATTCCTTTTAATAGCCTTTATCAATAAACAAACATATTGGTTAACAAGTTTTACTATAATGCTAGGTTTTATCTGGAGTTTCATATGAATTTAAGTGCTCTTGGCAAATTGGGAATTTAAATAAAAATATTTATTGTAAAATTGATTTCCTTAATATGCAAGGGATATTCCTTTTAGTAGCCTTTATTAATAAACAAACATACTGGTTAACTAGTTTTTTAGCTATAATGCTAGGATTTATTTGAAGTTTCATATGAATTGAGTGCACTTGGAAAATTTGGAATTTAAATAATAATATTTATTGTAAAACTGATTTAAAAAGTATGCAGTGCCTTCTCTTATCTATATTAAGCCATATACATCATCCCACAAGAGCAAAATTGGTAACAAATGTTGGCAAAATTTCACATCTTTAAAGGATGACCAGTATGTTAGGAACATACATTTATTGGAATCTTTAAGATAAACGAGCTTGTAGTGCTTACGAAATGTAACAGACAAAACCAACCATGTGAAAAATATTGTTAAAACAAGTGTTCCCAAATTGTTTGTGTTCGATTATGAGAAATTATGATTGATTGCTTGGTCGTTTAGTCACTACGACCAATCTTCGATTATTTCAATTAATCGGACCACCACTAGTGTTAACCAACCTGTTTTGAAGCATATTTCAGGAAGCTTGGTCTTCGTGAGAATCTTGTTCTTGTACTGTACGACTTTGTCCTTGACATCCTGCATGACACACTCAAAGTCCCGACCATTGGATGTGACAAAAGATTTCACACCTTGATACACACAGTTACTGAGGCCATCCAGCATGCTGAAAACATGACAATAATTCTCTTGTCACCGCGTCAGTTCCAGATTTCTATAACAATTAGGAACATTACACAATTTTAAGGTATTTCCTAATATCATTTCTTTTCAGGTCAGATACCCTAAGTTAAGATTTTACTGTGTATGGTATCTTCAGTATATGGTAATTTCAAATATCGACTTTCACAGTGTGTTTACTTATAAAAAATTTACTGACCAACCAAGAACTTGGCTGGAGTGAGTGAGTGAGTTTGCTTTTACTCCGCTTTTAGCGAAATTCCAGCAATATCATGATGGGGGGGGGGACACCAGAAACGGCTTCACACATTTTACCGATGTGAGGAATCGAACCCGTGTCTTAGGCGTGATGAGTGAATGCTTTAACCACTGGGCTACCCCACTGTTCCTAACTTGGTTGTCCTGAACACACCTTCATGATATTGTAGAAACCATTTGTTTGGACTTTTGATTGATTTCACAACAAGCTAAGACTTGGAGAATCATTCTCCCACAAGATAACTTACTTGCAGTCTCCTGTGGTCTCATTAGACTGTACTTTTTCAGATATTCTGGACAGTCAAAATGAGCAATGTAGTTGACAGCATTGCCGTCCAAGCACATCTTATCTGCTCTGGTGGGTGCAAAGTTGATATTTTTCACCTGACCATTGTCATCTGCACAAAACCCAAGAACAAAACAATGTCAAAACACTTCGCCACAACAACAGAATGTTTTGATTCCCACAGCTACCCTTCCTCACAACCAAACGCTAATCCGTGAAGATCCTGGTTAGAATTGGTCTTCAGTAACCCATACTTGTCGTAAGAGGCAACTAACGGGATCGGGTGGTCAGGCGTGCTGACTTGGTTGACACATGTCATCATATCCTAATTGTGTAGATTGATGCTCATGCTGTTGATCACTGGATTGTCTGGTCCAGACTCGATTATTTACAAACCGCCGCCATATAGCTGGAATATTGCTGAGTGCGGTGCCAAAACAGCCAGCCAACCAACCACAACCAAACATCATGACTCGCACCACTTCATTGACCCTATGTTTCTACACTAAGTCAGTGAATGAGTGAGCAAGTTTAGTTTTACACCACACTAGTATAGGGCTTGTAAGTCTCACAAGGCGCTACTTCCAGTACTAAACTGGTTCCAGGTTCCCTTCAGGTGCGCCAACTTGAAATATGTGAGACGGTGCCCCGCTTATTTCTGGTACCAGATTTCCAGTGACATGTGTATATTCAAGAACTAGTTCTGGTTCCAAATTGCACGACCGCCAAATATCCCTTTACTAGACCGAACCAAGTGTACAACCAGTAGTTCTCGCTGATGTTGACCATCGTAATGGTTACCTAATTTGGGGAGAGCTAGGTCAGAAATTTGCATCAATTCCTTACTGTCAACTGACAACCATGAGACCATTCGAAAAGGTATGAAACGCTGTTTGTCACCGGAAGTACTAAGGTCTCGCAAAGTGCAGTGACCAACGTACAGGCCCTATTAACTTCACTAGTACCCAATTTCATCACATTTTGAAAGAAAATGACGAAAGCAAAATTGTCACCAAGGATGTACCTGCACATTTGGATGTGAGAGCTGCCATGCTGGGCTTCGTCTCAGAGATGTAGTACTTCGCAGCTTTAGACACATGGTATGGGTGGCAGTTCTTCCTGAAGAAGTCCACCATGAACTTCAGGCAGCTCACATAGAACTCATAGGGGCTGAAACAAGACATGCATGTCAATAAAAAGGCTGCTTTACTATGCTGTTTCTGAAAATAGTCAAATTACCACACGCTCAGAATCTGTCACATCATAACACAAGTATCCATGGACAAAGGAGAATAAAGAAACAACTGATTCTTAGACATTTATCTTACCTACAGTCCGTTTGAGTCAGAAACGGACCGATGAATTGCAAATTTTATCATTGTACAAAATTGCCACATAAATATAAATAGTACACATGTTTATCATTTACTAATACCCAACAGCTTTCTTATATTTGAAAATTTTCGGACTCCACCAAAATAGTTCTTTAAGAAACTATCATTAAAATTTTGACACAGTTCACTATTTGTTACGAGGGAGGAGTGCAGAGAAAGGGACAGCCAGGTGTTAGAGGTGAGGTGAGGTAAAATTGGGTTTTACGTCGTACTTGAGAATATTTCGCTCATATGACGACGTGCATGCGTGTGTATGTGTAAAATTACATGTAAAATTTCATTGGACAATTTCCTTGTCAACCCTACCAGAAGGGTGACAACTGGAAAAGGTATTACCCGCTGCCACGGTAACTGCCAAACTCTCCGCCGAGAAACAGCAGTGTCATCCCTCGCCTACGGGTGACACTGGTGACACTATTACCGTCAAGGGAAGCATACAACTTATATTGTCATCAGCATTCTGTTTTCCAGGTCTTTAGAACTTACTTGCAATAGTCGGATTCCTTGGTTGCCATTTCCACAAACTTGTCATACAAAGCACTACAGTGAGACGCTACATCCATAACTGCCGATTCACATGGTGTAGGCTTGTAAACTGGTTCAAAATCAAGTTTTTCTTCATCAATTTCTAAATCACTTGCAGGTTCCTTGTCTGGGTTATTCTTAATCTCTTCCTTCATGCGTCGTAACCCCTCTTTGAAAACCTCTATCAGTCTTGATGGCTGTTGAATGACGACCAGGATATCTGGTTCCAATTTATCCTGGGGTACGGGGTTGAAGATGATGACGTAAATCACCCTGATACTCCCCTGACTGTTGACATAAAAGTTTATTTATATAATTACACAAATAGTTTCAATACAACAGTGTTTATGTCTTAAATTGAAAGGTCTCAGACTAAGATTTCAAAATGAAAAACAAAATATTAAAAATGTTGTGTTTGATTTAGGTGAAGCAGTCTGTGACCAAATCATGACATAATCTAAAGACTTTTAAAGGAAATGTAAAGTTCCTAATAATACCAATATTAGATATCAGATATCTGAACTGATTTTACGAAACATTCAAGCTTGTGAATCATGAACACACCACGTACACAGATAAAATGCCCATAGTGGTTCAATACAAGACGAGAAATGTGTGTGAGTTTAGTTTTACACCGCTTTTAGCAATATTCCAGCAATATCACGGCAGGGGACACTAGAAAGGGGCCTCACACATTGTATCCATGTGGGGAATCAACCTTCCTTTTTACTACTAGGCTACCCCACCGGTCCCCAAATAAGATAGAGCAATGGCACTGTAGCCCATCTAGATATTTAGGTGAAAATGTAAATGGTCTGAAAAATAGAAGACGCTGAGAAGTTGTCAGCACTGATATTCAATATGACCCTGCTCTGACACTAAAACCTAAAACTAAAATTTAGTGCATTGTTTGTCTGTTATTTAGCACCACACTCAGCAACATCAAGCAATAGTACAGCGGTTTGTAAATAATCAACATCATGAACAACGATCTACGATACTGGCAGACATGGGTCAACCAAGTCTGCGACCCTGACCACCCGATCCTGTTAGTCGCCTCTTTTGACAAGCATGGGTTGAAGATCACTTCAAACCCAGATCTTCACAGGTTCATAAGCACCTGAACTTAGGAGACAGTTTGTAGGATTGACAGAGCTAAAATCAATCCACTCTATCCAAATTCTGATAGTGATAGCACTGAGCATTGATTGAGGAACAAGACTTCGTAAGTAGCACGCTCTCTTAGGACAGACAAAATGTTAGACTAGTCATAACAGTAGAACTATTAAAGAGCAAAGTGCTATCCATGTTAGGAGTCAACCAGAAATACAAAAAACATATCTATCACACCAACTTTGTCATAGTGCAATGATCGATCTATGAAAATGAGAAAAGTCTCAACTACTGGAGTCTTTCATGGATAGTTTTCATGAATGAGGGAGTGAGTTTAGTTTTACGCTGCACTCAGCAATATTCCAGCTCTATGGAGGCATTCTGTAAATAATCGAGTCTGGTCCAGACAATCCAGTGATCAACAGCATGAGCATCAATCTACGTAGTTGGGATACCATGGCATGTGTCAACCAAGTCAGTGAGACTGACCACTCAATCCCATTAGTTGTCTCTTACGACAAGCATGGGTTACTGAAGACAAATTCTAACCTGGATCTTCATGGGTTTATGGCTTTAGTGACAAACTATACCTAAGAATAAGACGATTTACACAGCATTCTCTGTTTACATCTCGGATTACAAAAGAATCCAACTAAACTAGTTTAAATTCAAAGTTTAGAGTAATCTACTTCAAGAATATTAATGTGTAATTCAAACAAAAGTGGAGCAAAGTCTATTATATGCAGACACTAAGACTCAAACTTCCACAGAGCCTGTTTCCATCATGACGCAATACTTACCAAGGTGTTTGCTCACTTGTGATATTACAACTGACAAGTAACCAAGTTCAAAACACATTTCACATAAACGTTACCATGTTGCTATAAACGCATATACCACAAATACTTTCATAACGGTACTCCAGGTGATAATATCTTCTTCTAGACATACATGTACCATAAAGATTTCTTACGACAACTTTGCTTATGAACATAGAGAATTTTCTGTTCTTTAGTTCTACCTGATGATGGGCAAGAACAAGCCCTGAAACATTGGACCAAACAATAACAAGAAGATGATACCCAGAAAATTCTGTATGTTCATCAATAGCATCTTCTAAAATGCCCATCAAACAATTTTGCTTATATTTAAATATATTTCTTATTCAAATTTGCACACTTTTGCAGTGAGTGAGTTTAGTTTTACTTTACTCCGCACTCAACAATATTCCAGCTATATGGAGGCGGGCTGTAAATAATCAAGTCTGGACCAGACAATCCAGTGATCACCAGCATAAGCATCATTCTACGCAGTTAGGATACAATGACATGTGTCAACCAGGTCAGTGAGCCTGACTACCCGATCCTGTTAGTCACCTCTTATGACAAGCATGGAATACTGAAGATTGATTCTAACCTGGATCTACACGGGTGCACACATTTGGAGGTGAACTGATTGACAAACTTGTTTCAAATTTTCACCTAAAATATTCGAAACAAATAAACAGGGAAGACGATACAAAGCCCATTTATCTGGTATAGTTGATGTTTTGAGGTACAGGAAAGTCATCTTACCTCATAGATGAAACTTCAGTCCGGTTGTAATATTCGCTCATGTTACTGCTTTTCATGACTTGATCAACCTGAAATGTAGATCTTGTTATAAGCGTTGAAATGGACGATCATGGTTTATACCTATTTTAGCTACCTTCACATGACATCAAAAGAAAATATTCAAGTCATATGGCTGCAGGGTGCAAAGACAACAGCAATATTCCACCCATACTACTGCAGGGTGTAATGTTAACAATATTCCACCCATATGACTGCAGGGTGAAATGTTAACAATATTCCACCCATATGACAGCAGGGTGTAATGTTAACAATATTCCACCCATATGACTGCAGGGTGAAATGTTAACAACAATATTCCACCAATATGACAGCAGGGTGTAATGTTAACAACAATATTCCTACCATATGACTGCAGGGTGTAATGTTAACAACAATATTCCACCCATATGACTGCAGGGTGAAATGTTAACAACAATATTCCACCCATATGACAGCAGGGTGAAATGTTAACAACAATATTCCACCCATATGACAGCAGGGTGAAATGTTAACAATATTCCACCAATATGACAGCAGGGTGTAATGTTAACAACATTCCACCCATATGACTGCAGGGCATAATGTTAACAATATTCCACCCATATGACAGCAGGGTGTAATGTTAACAACAATATTCCACCCATATGACAGCAGGGTGTAATGTTAACAACAATATTCCACCCATATGACTGCAGGGTGTAATGACAACAGCAATATTACTGCAGGGTTTAACAGCAACAGCAAAAACAATATTCCACCCATATGACAGCAGGGTGTAATGTTAACAACAATATTCCACCCATATGACAGCAGGGTGTAATGTTAACAACAATATTCCACCCATATGACAGCAGGGTGTAATGACAACAGCACTATTCACCAAAGACACTGACCTGGGCGACAACTTTAGCCGACATGTTCTGGTATTCCTCACTGGTGTTGTCGCTCAGTGCGTTGTTCCACACCTGGTTGGCCACTGTCAGTGACGCATTGTAATCAGGTACTGTAACAAATTTCAAACATTGTCAGCATGATCACTGATCTACACAATTGGGACACGATGACATGTGTCAACCATGTCTGTTAGTTGCCTCTTACGACAAGCATGGGTTACTGAAGATCAAATTCTAACCCAGTCATATGAAGCAGGACAGAGTTTGAAAGCGACAACCTCTGCTTATTTTATTGCAGTTTGTACATATGATACTCACTGACTTCCTGCTCAGGAGGTGGGGTTGTAGTTGGAGCTGCTGTTGTAGTTGTGGTTGGAGCTGCTGTTGTAGTTGTTGTTGCTGCTGCTTGTGATGTTGCCGCAGCTGCTTGTGTTGTTGTTGCTGCTTGGGTGGTCGTTGCTGTTGCTGCTTGTGTTGTTGTTGCCGCAGCTGCTTGTGTTGTTGTTGCTGCAGCTTGTGTTGTTGCCGCTGCTCCTTGTGTGGTAGTTGTTTGCTGCTGCTTGTGTGTGTGGTTGCCACTGCTGCTTGTGTTGTGGTTGCTGCTGCTTGTGTGGTGGTTGCTGCGCGGCTTGTGTGGTTGCTGCTGCTTGCTTGTGTGGTGGTTGCTGCTGCTTGTGTGGTGGTTGCTGCTGCTTGTGTGGTGGTTGCTGCCGCTTGTGTTGTTGTTGCTGCTGCTTGTGTGGTTGTTGCTGCTGCTGTGTGGTGGTTGCTGCGGCTTGTGTGGTTGTTGCTGCTGCTTGTGTGGTGGTTGCTGCTGCTTGTGTTGTTGTTGCTGCTGCTTGTGTGGTGGTTGCTGCGGCTTGTGTTGTTGCTGCGGCTGTGTGTGTGGTGGTTGCTGCTGCTTGTGTGGTGGTTGCTGCTGCTTGTGTGGTGGTTGCTGCGGCTTGTGTGGTGGTTGCTGCGGCTTGTGTGGTGGTTGCTGCGGCTTGTGTTGTTGCTGCTGCGGCTTGTGTGGTTGTTGCTGCTGCTTGTGTGGTGGTTGCTGCTGCTTGTGTGGTGGTTGTGGCTTGGTTGGCGGTTGCGGCTTGTGTGGTGGTTGTTGCTGCGGCTTGTGTGGTGGTTGCTGCTGCTTGTGTGGTGGTTGCTGCGGCTTGTGTCGTTGATGCTGCGGCTTGCGTTGTTGCTGCTGCTTGTGTGGTTGTTGTAGTTGGTGTGGTTGTAGTTGATGTTGTAGTTGGTGTGGTTGTGGTTGTAGTGGTTGTTGTTGTAGTGGTTGTAGTGGTTGTAGTTGTAGTGACAACAACTGTTTCTATATTTGAGCTGTCAAAAGTTGGACCAGTGTTGATGTTGTTTCTTGCTCTTTCTTTGGCCCTCTCTACAAAGGCTTCAACCACCATTGTCTGGAACGTCTGTGGGTTGGACTTATAGCTGGCTACCAGCTGTTTCAGCGCAGGACTTGTCTCCGCAGTCTCTAGCATGAAGAACACTTGGACCAGAGCTATCACACTCCCAGGTCTGTAACATACAGGGACAAAGAAAATAATAGTAATGATGATAATATTAACAAATAGTTTTCAGTAAACTGTGTGTGATGGCAACAGCGCTGTAGCAGACCTGGATATATAGTTACGAGTCATCAGCACCACTAAGGCTATTGAAATATTTACTAGTGAGTGAGTGAGTTTAGTTTCACGCAGCACTCAGCTATATGGCGGCAGGCTGTAAATAATCAAGTCTGGACCAGACAATCCAGTGATCAACATCATGAAAATCAATCTACGTAGTTGGGAACCGATGACATGTGTCAAGCAAGTCAGCGAGCTGACCACCCGATCCCGTCGCTCCAATGACAAGCATGGATTACTGAAGATCAATTCTAACCTTGATCTTCACAGGTTAAAATATTACTGGATAAACATGTTATATTTGAGGGTGTGGGTTCGAATCCCGGACGGGACCTAACTCAACAAAAGTACTAGAATCTGTACTTTACAAAGAAAGTGTAATCCTAAATATAACATATGTTACATTTGACCACTCTATGGCATTTTGTAACCATGGATAATAATGGACCTTTCCAGATATGAAACAAAGAGTTGAATTTAATAAAAACAAGTAGTTAAATTTCAACTTTTTGAAAACAGAAAGAATGAATGCATTGTTGTATAACATTTTTTAATATACAACAGTTAAATTTCCTTTCCTGGGAAGTCCTAAGTCAACAGTCATGACATGACGGATTAAAATGTCATTTGAGAAAAGTGTTTGTTTGGTGGTTTAACACAGCACTCAGCAATTCCAGCAGTATGGTGGCAGTCTGTCAATAATCGACTCTGGATCAGACAATCCATTGATCAACAGCATGAGCATTGATTGAGTGGCCAGGCTCGCTGACTTGATAACACATGCCATCAGATCCCAACTGAATAGATTATGAAATGGTTTCTCAAAACGTCCAAAACTCAACTACTCTAGAATGGTAGTTCTGAAAAAAATACAGGTAGTTCAAACAGCGTGTCAATGGCAATACATTATTGGTGTAACGATTCATCGATAGTATCAATGATTACATTGCTATATGAGTGCATCGATACAAAACACATTTAAGCAACATATCAGGATATTTATATCGTGAGGGTCCATGATACATAGTGTATCCCGATAGAACTTATCAGGGGTGGAAATAACACATTGCCCGACGCCCGGGTCCAGTGTTTGTTTTCTGTCGGGCAAGCAAATTTAGATATCACACTGTACCGGTGTCTTTCCACAGGTTGACTTTCCAATGTTAATTATGTTCTTTATGTAAAAAATCAACAACAAAACAGCTGGTATAGTGGACAAATTATCAGGGCAAGTGATTTTACATGTGCCACTGTACCGAAGTACACTAGCAAGTTATTTCCACCCCTGCTTATGTACTACTTAAGTTGTAAGGAGTATTGCGTTAGGAATAGGAAAGGAGTCTCTTTGAAAGTCTTCTGAATTTTAAAAAACAAATTGAACTTTAAAGGAATTTGTTTGTGTCTGTTATCTTTGTTACATGAACAAATGAGTTGGTGTATAAGTCAAAGAGGGTGAACATTTTGTGAACTGTAGAATAGTTGTCTTCAAGTAATTGAAATATGCAGATATGTTTTAGTTGTTTGACAAATAACACCATTTATTAACAACTATGAACAATGTCTTAGCTTTGTTAAGAAAGAGAACAAAGACACGATAAAAAGCGGACTTAAGAGGTTTTTTCTGTGATTCTGTATTCTGATATTTGAATTAAGTTGAGTTGTTTGTGAAAGCATTGGTGTAGAAACACAACTGCCCAAGGGGAAACTTCACTTTCAAATTTATATATATTAGATCAAGGTATGGTGAATATGTTTGACTGTACTTTAAGCATTAAATGCTGAAACTGTATTAGATGAACAGCTTTGTAAGTGTGTGTGAATGTAACACAAGTTCTGCTGTATAACAGATAAAGTGTCAGTCATTTTGTCTACCATATCTGTTCTGTTATTAGAATTTGTAAAGTATCGGGATACGTATTGTATTGCCACCATTGTATCGTGATGATAATTGTCTCGCAGGTTCCTTGGCAATATGTTCCTGATATATCATATCGCCTAGTTAAACTGGTATCGGGATATATCGTCTCGCCACTTAGGCCACAATACACAGCACTACAATATATACAACAAATCATAACCCATGACAGGCTTAAGTAGTGCGATATATTGCAACAAGAACATTACACGCAATATACAGCCCTTGTCATAATGTCACCTGTATGACAGCTCTTGCTCATAATATCAACAATTGGTTTGTCCAGTCCGGGACAATTTACAGACAGTAGTGTTTCCTCTAAGCATTTTTAGCAGGGCCCTGCACCCTGCCCTTCTCAGCGATTCCCTAAGGTAATTTCAGAAAGAGTGAGTGAGTGAGTGAGTAAGTTTGGTTTTATGCCGCTTTTAGCAATATTCTAGCAAAATTTGAGCCTTTACGAATGATATGCATTAACGATTTGACGTAGTGCTTGGAAATCTGTGATTGCACGCCCCTTTTCTAATTCTGTTGCCCCGCACTTTTTGGATCCTGGGAAACACAAGACATCTATCACACAGCTGGAATATTGCTGAGTGTAGCTATGAGCAAAGAAATAAAAAAAATTGTTTCCTGTTCCTTTCCTTGTAAACATCTTTGATATGGAAAATGGGTTAAAACCAGATTTCATGAATGAGGTAGATGTATATTAAAAACAGATACTTACTTGAGACCTGTCACCATGCTGTAGTTATAGGCATTTTTCGCAGGACTGGCAAGGAAGACAGAATCCAGCTGAAGTTAGAAAGGAAGAAAATAAATACTACTTTCCTGAAATATGGTCCTGGAGGCAAGCTTCACAACCAAGGAAACTCACTTGTCAACAAGAACAGAAATCAGAATACAGGGATAGAAATACTTTTTTTTCTAAGTGTGCCTTAGGGCACCAGGCAAATATTTTAAATGTGCCTTTCAGAAATCAAGTGTGCCCACATGTTTTTAGAATAAATGACTGTAGCAATGATGATCATTTGAAATTTATTGTTAATAAACAACAAATGTAACCTGTTTTCTGTTATCACTGATTCATCTTCTGTTTAAGATGGCTTTCTTAAGCTTCATTTGTTCTGCTTTCCCAACACCTTTAATAGCTAAGGATTTTGTGACAGGTTCACTTGTTCAATATATCTAACATACACAATTTTCTCTTCAATAACCGAACTATCAGTACTTCTATCACTCTAAACAGAAAAATAACCAGATTTCTTTACATCATTCATCATAATTCCAGTGATTTCTTGGGAGATGAAGTCAATAAATGTTTTTGCTTGTTTGTCATTTGCGTAAGTGTTTTGTTTTGGGGATTAAATGACTAAAGGTGAGTTGTGTTTCTTAAAAATTAGGAGTGCCATAAGGGCACCGAGAACATTTCTTATTTGTGCCATTTCAATATTTACCGTGCCATGGTATGAATTGTTGTGATCTAAAAATTCTTCAGATATTGAAATTTCATTCGGTTGAACAGGGTGAATTTGAATGAAATTGATTTTTTTTTGCGGTGAAGCCAGATATGAGGGAGATTATCTTAATAGAGGGCACTCGGGTATATAAGAACTTGTTAAGCCGGGTTGTTCAATCTCTCCTGTGGTGTCACTGAAACAGCTTAGTCTGGTTTTCCTTTCTTTTAATATCAGTATGCAGTATCACTGACTGACCGAGTTTGGTTTTACGCCGCTTTTAGCAATATTCCAGCAATATCACGGTGGGGGACACCAGAAATGGACTTCACTCATTGTACCCATGAGGGGATTCGAACCCGGGTCTTCGGGGTGACGAGCCAATGCTTTAACCACTAGACTACCCCACCGGCCCGTATGCAGTATCAATGTCCATTATGATCATCATCAAATTCTATTGCCAGGTGTGGCAGTCCTGCTTCAAGACGGAATGGCGTCACAGTGACAAGAACTGTTCTGAACCGGAAGCATCAGTGGATTATGGTCCGTACATCTTACGGTAAGATGGTTTGTTACGTGGTTCCGAACCACGAGAGCTGGCCTGTTTGATGTAAGTCACGTGATTGAGTACATAAATGTTGGTGAGTATATGCCTCTGCGAAAGTGATACAGATGAAGCCACAATGCATGTTTATTTTATATCCGGACAAAGTATAGCCTAAATGACATACAAAACAATTTGAAAACACCGATCACTTAATACTGATTATCTCGACTCTGCCTTCATGGATAGTATACTCTCAAACAAAAGTAGAAGAACCTTAACTTTCAATTTGGATAGGAAGTATATGCGTTAACAAACTTTCCAAAGACAGACATCTTAAGAACATACCACCATTCTCATTATCAACACCCCTAAACACAACGCGTGGAATGCACGTACACAACGCGTGGAATGCACGTACACAACGCGTGGAATGCACATACACAACGCGTGGAATGCACGTACACAACGCGTGGAATGCACGTACACAACGCGTGGAATGCACGCATTACCAACGCGTGGAATGCACATACACAACGCGTGGAATGCACGCATTAACAACGCGTGGAATGCATTACATGTAGCGTGGAATGCACGCATAACAACGCGTGGAATGCACGCATTACGCGTGGAATGCACGCATTACACAGCGTGGAATGCACGTACACAACGCGTGGAATGCACGTACACAACGCGTGGAATGCACGTACACAATGCAGTAGCCTCATACATGTGCATCATTCTTGATTTGGGCGGTTTTCAAGAAGGTCGATAAATCAATGTAGACCATTAATTTTGACAGTCATCTTGCTTCACACAGTTGTTAGTGTTTGTTAGCCATTTTTGGCGGTTTAAAAATCAAAATCATACACATGCCAATTTCACGTTAAACATTAATCATCCTTCAAGAGCAATTACTCTTACAAACTATGGTCATAAGGAAGTGCAAGTAGTGATGCACTCTCAAAACATTCATTAGTATCATACCAACATTGACTGCCTCCGATACATCTCCCAATTTTGAAGGTCTGGGTTAGAATGAACCTTCAGTAACCCATGCTTGTCGTAAGACCCGACTAACGGGATAGGGTGGTCAGGCTTGCTGGCTTGACAGCCTCGGACACTGTGACACTGGTTACACTTATTTAACAGCGTGGACCCCAACAGCGAATAACCCATGAAGATTCGGATTAGAATTGATCTTCAGTAACCCATGCATGTCGCAAGAGGCGACTAACTGGATCGGGTAGTCAGGCCCACTGACTTGGTTGACACGTCATCGGTTCCCAATTGCGCAGGTCGATGCTCATGCTGTTGATCACTGGATGGTCTGGTCCAGACTTGATTATTTACAGACCGCCGCCACATAGCTTGAATATTGCTGAGTGTGGCGTAAAACTGAACTCACTCTCTCATCCAATTTTTTCAATCGTAAAGTAAAAGTGAAGTTCTCCTACTGTTTTGTTAAGAGTATACAATACAAACATCTGAGCTGAACACCAAAACCAACTCCATACCTCTTTCTCAAACTCCTTGGCCACCTCCATAAACCGGATGCTTTGGTTGTCTGCCAGTTGATTGTCCCAGTTATAATTTCCAGCTCGAACAGTCAACTTTGCATCCGGTGCTACAATTGCAAAAAATCATGTTTTCACACAAAATACAAAAATATAGTAATGATGATGCAAACTAGTGTTGGGAATTGGTTAAAATCTCAAAATTCATGATGGGTTCATTACAACCAATCAACCATCGAAAATAATTGGTTAGCGTCATTTCTCAAATTATTTTGGTTCATGGACAAAAGTTTTGGTGGGTTTTTGCAAATTGCACAAAATGCATTTGTAAATTTCACATCTTTAAAGGATTACTAGTATGATAAGAACATTAATTTCCTGGAGTCTTTAAGATAAATTAAATCATGACTTGGAACAAGCTCGTAGTGTGTATGAAACAAAAAAATAATGACACAGACAAAACCAACCTTGTGAAAAATGCTGTTAATGCAAACAAGTGTTCCAGAATTGTTTGTGTTTCATTATGAGAAAACACCATCGATTGCTCGATCGTTTAGTCACTATGACCAATCTTAGATTATTTCAATTAATGCCAACTGCTGATACAGATGAATCTGGAGAGTTTATTTGTGTCCATATTCTCACTAGCATGTACAGGAAGTCACACACAAAAGACAACACTGACATCAAAGATAATCAAGGCAGTACATGGTGTTTAAGGCAAAAACTATTTACCTATTTATGTTTCATAAAATATATTTCAATTATCCTACCCTTTTCCTGAAACTTCATAATGGTAGCAGTAGTTGTTCATTAGAACAAGTAGCCTGCTATAAAAAGATCTTCAGTACCCACCCCTGCTTGTTGTGAGAGGCGACTAATGGCTGGTTGACACATGTCATGGTATCTCAATTGTATAGATTGGTGCTCATGATGTCAATCATGAGTTGATTATTTACAGACCGTTGCCATATAGCTGGACTATTTCCGAGTGCAGCATTAAACAACAAACAAACAAAACATTGTCAAATAACTCACGTTGATTGCCTGAATGTGTTTCCAGTCTCGATGGATTTGTATTGAGTTTGCCTTGTGAAGATTGGTTCACTGTAATGCAACAAGAGCTGAATATATTCCTCTACACAACATGAAATATTCCTCCATTCAAAGTCAAAATTTCAGAATTCAAGAATAGGCATGATATGAATGTTTTAGATGCACATATTTTGCTATTCATGCCAATGACTGCATCAACGATTTCATTCATTTTGTATGTTTCTTTGTAACAGTTCTTATAACTTCATGAATCAGATACCATTCTAGAGTTTAAAAAGGAATCAGTATTCCAAGCACTTAAGCATTTTAATGAGTGAACTTCTCCAAATCACCTAAAAGGTTGAGAGCATTTACATATTTGAAATAAATGTTTCAAACTTTTTCTACCGATGGTATGTATAATACACACAAAATTGTCAGATTTAAAACATACTGATCGTACAATACAAGCATTAGATTTATTGCATTTTCCACACAAGGGACAGGTTAGTAACCAAACACATTCTGTGACAAATGTTGTAAAATCATGCAAGTGTAATATTTTCCTTTTTTACCCATTATTTTTAAATCACTCTGAACTTCAGAAAAAAACACTGTTTATGAGAGCACTTCTACAAAACCCCAGATTGTCACATGACAATGTCACATGATATCAACAAACGTCAGCCATGTTGTCATTTCAAGCATGACACCATTCCAACCTTTGATCACAATAAGATTTGAATGATGTCAACAATGAGATCAAGATGATGACTGTACACAATCAACTGGTGCATATGAAGTGATATTTGCTCTAGTACAAATACAACTTGGAAGCACTAGGTTATCTCAAGTTTCACAAACAGTATTTCCACTGGTCACCTTTCTTTCACTGGGATGTTTTAGGTCTCCAGAAATAGCATGCTTATTAATTTACAAAAGTCAACGAAATAAAACTAATGAAGCACACATACTCGAAAAATATACTCCCACTCCAATGGCAGCCACAACCAATAAAACAACAAATAAGATGACTCCAGCAAGGAAGTAGTGGCTTTTTTTGGCTTCGGGATAATCTGCTGGTTCTTTCACTGGAGTCTGAAAATAATAAATCAATAGTAAATAATCACAAGTTCTAAATGTATGTACTAAAGTTCAACCTCAGTAAATCAGATCTTCACTCAGAATGTTACCTCTGTTTGGGTGACCCTCCATTGGAAATGTTAAGTGAACGTTCTGAGTATCCGAAAAGATTCAAAGCTTCTTAGTTCTCACTGATCAGTGAAGCGTGAACACAAGCACAAAACTAATCAGAGCGTTACGATGCAAACACACAATTGGCTTGATTGGCTGTATAAAACATGCATCAGTACAACCTATAATTGAAATATACAACCTAACACTTAAATCTTCATGCAGGATGTGCAAGAAAGTATTTTAAAATTCATGTATGAGAAAACCTTAATTGTCCACACAACACTGATCTTTCAACACTCAGCCTCTAAGCTTTGCCATCATATTACCATACCGCATGACTTAGTCCATTATGTGATCTGTTTATTGATTTGTTGAGCTAGACATGTTCAAAGTGGTATGTAAAGACTATGTGCTGTAAAGTAGAGTCATCTATCACTGGAACTGACCATCACAAATCAGTTGAAGTCAACGTTGGTCTTGGACAGTCCTTGGATGGGTGACCGTGTTTGGCAGCTTGACTCCTGAGAGTTTCTAGGGCTTCAGCCCTGCCCCACAATGAAGCACATGTCATACATGTGGTTTCACCTTAGGCAAGTGAGTTTGTTCAAAATTGCCTCTGTTCACCCAGCAGAAAATGGGTACCCGGTGGGATAAGTCATGTGACTATAAGCTTGGGTTATCCGGGGTAATCATGTGCTGTGCTATTCATTGTTAGTGCTAAGATCATACCTGGTGTGGAGTATTATTATTATCATTATAAGTCATGACACTGTCCACATTATCACTCATTCATTCCAGGCTCTGAAGTAATTATCTGAACGTACGTTACACCATTACTTTATAGGACCCTCATTATAATTACCAGTTAAAACAAGCAAAGTGAATAGATGGGGGTCCCCTGGGTCCCTATTTTGTAAATCAAGGTAAAACCCTGCTGTTAATATATTTCAGTTATTCACAAAATAGTATTTATTATGTGATGGTTACCATTGGCAACATTATGATAAAAGAGCAGAAGAGTAAGTGATAGTTTCAAAATTCATGCTACTTATCAAGATCTGTATTTGGAGGATGTTTTAGAGATCCTGTCCATTCTGAACACTGACTTCTAATGTCCCCGCTATGATATTACTGGAATATTGCTAAAAGCAGCATAGAACTAAACTCACTCACTCAGACTTCTAAACCCGGTTGGGTATCCCATCAACAGTATATTGGTGTTTTAGGGTTTTCCTTTTGAGTGAGTGAGTGAGTGAGTGAGTGAGAGAGAGAGAGAGAGAGAGAGTGAGTGAGTGAGTATGGTTTTACACCGCTTTTAGCAGTGTTCCAGCATTATCACTGCAGGGGACACCTGAAATGGGCTTCACACATTGTACCCATAGTCTCTCGTACAGACCCTGAAGCAAATATATCCAAGAAAGCCCACACAAGTCTAGAAAATGTGGCAAGTCTAGATTTCCTCAGCTTCAGGCTGAAGAAAGTCTCAGGGCTCCTTTTCATTATATTTTTGTTTTTTTACTATGAACTTTTTTCAGTAAAATATGTTCATTTCAGAGACTAGTTGTTAGTCTAATTGTACCCATTGTGGGGAATCGAACCCTTTTCTTCCTCGTGATGAGCAGACGCTTTAACCAGTAGGCTACCCCACCGCCCCCTTTTCATATCATGGAGGAGATAAAGGAATGGCACTTGATTGTTCCAAGAATGCAAGTTTCACCTAAAGCAACTCTCAGGATTTTAGACCTCCATCCAAAGAGGCATTGTATGGACTAAACATCTGATAATTTTAGGTAAGGTTGTTCAGCATATGTACATATGAAGCACAGTGTCAATACTTATGCAAATGATTTGATTCCATGTTTGAGGACCAAATATAAACCAATAATGCATAGGGTCTCACAGTCATTGACAGAAACCTTGAAAGATTAAATTATATTATGTTAATTCCAGTTTCTGGTAAATATTTTCATACATTTTCACATAAATTGCTTCCTGTAGTTAACCATACTGAGATAAAGAATCTTCAAACATGAAACACAATTAGCGTGATTTCTTTATGATAAATATAGAATAGTATAAAAACTGGAAACACCTTTCTGTTGGCCTTAAGCCAAGTTTCCAACATGAATCAATGCAAGCACAGAATCATTTCTCAAAGATATACTACCCATCAAAAGTTTAGACTCACTAGTGTAAATGTAGCCACTTACTTAAGTCACCTGTTCTAAACTAAATATTGCAAAATACACCATACTGTTTAAGGTACTGTTTACTGTTTAATCAATGCATTGTAAAACACATTCGTAATTGTCATGATTATTGTCATGAGATCAATAAATGATGAAACAGTGAAAATTGGAGAATTCTTAACACAATTTTACACCACAACGTAGCTGTTCACATGCACGATATTTGCACATGCTTTTCAGCAATTTGATGCAATTCATCTACATAAAGTTTGCAGTTAGTTCCCCCAAGTTAGTGGAGAAATTCATCTTTGATGTAACCACACATATATGCATAACATATAGTGAGTGCTTTGAGTCTAAAATTTTGATGGGTTGTATACATTGTACAAGGTGATCCATTGTATAATATAATATCATTTCAGTACAAGAACAAAATGAAAGATCTTACCCTTAACTCAATTCAAATAATTGTTGCAAATAAGTTATGCAACCAGTTGTGGTGGTGTAGTGGTGAGAGCGTCCACCCAGTGGCCACCCAGTCCACTAGAGCAGAAGGTCGAGGGTTCGATCCCCGACCGCGTCATACCAAAAGACGTTAAAATATGGTACTTGTTGGTCCCTGCCTGGCGCTCAGCATTAATGGGTACAACAAGGACTGGTCGGCTCGGAGTCAGTATAATTTGTCTGAGTGGGGTATTCATGCTTCACTGCGGCATGGTATCTGAGTTGGCTAGCACTATAAAACCAGCTTCAGTCTGGGCTAGTACAAGCAGCCGCACATACACATACACAGGCATGTCGTCATATGAGCGAAATATTCTCAAGCGCGACGATAAACCCAATTTCACCTCACCTCACTTCCACAATGACACCTGAATATTCACAATGAGATGACACTTTATACATAACACTACTCTCATCACAAACACCAGAACAGTGAAGAATTGGTCTCCAGCAACCCATGGTTGTCGAAAGAGGCCACTAACAGGATCAGGTGGCCATACTCACTGACTTGGTTGACACATCATAACCCAGTTGTGTAGATTGATACTCATGACGTTGATCACTGGATTGACTGGTCCAGACTCGATTATTTACAAACCCACAACATGTAGCAGGAATGTTGCTGTGTGCAGCGTTAAACAACAAACAAACACACAAACAAACAACAACAACAACAACAACAACAACCAAACAAACAGTCAACACCATACCTGAACTGGAAGCCTTATAATATGGTCGATGCTTCTGGCTGCCATCATAAACGAAATTCGGGTTGTCGTACATGTGGCGTCCGTATCGATCAAGCTGCACCCTGGTTGGAGTGTGGAACTCGTCGTCCTCGCTGGTGTAGTACCTTTTCCCGGACATCCTGGCTCCGCGACCGGAACTCTCCCGTCGTCGCCGTTGGGATCTCTTGCTCGATCGTTTACTCTCGTATAGAGGGTAAATGTAATACCCTTCCGAATAAGGGCTTCGTATGAGGTCGACTTTCTTCCAGTTGTCTTGTTTCTGAGACACAAACAGACACAGGTACAATATTGACAACAACCATGCTATAAACTTGACTATATTCACTGTTTGGTTGACACTCCCTGAAACCACATTGCCCTTCTGAAACTTAACATTCATGCAGACAACGGAAGGAACACATCGATATACGCATGCGCTGAAATCGACTTGCACGTGCAGCACGTGCTTGTACGACTCACCCTGGGGAGCGCTTCTCACGTGAGTGACAGGCCTGTTTACTCTACCACGACTATCGGGTCGGACATTGCGTGGTGAAAAGTAGACGGGCATTGGTGCGACTCTTGCCTGACGTGTGAGAAATATGAACATATGATCTAATCTCATTTGAGATCATGCGAAAATGAAATAAAGAAACTCATATCATAACGAGAGGTGCATTACAGAAGGCAAAGAAAAAAACAACTAAAGCAATAAAACGGCAAAGAAATAATATCTTAGGGACCGTTCACAATTTATGTCTTGGGAGGGTGATGATTTTTAAGGAGAAGCATGTAAAATGTGAATGCCCCCCTACCAATATTTATGTACAAAGTAATTGACCCCCTGCATGTCATGTACAAAACCAATGGCCCACCGACTAGTACACGCGTAAAAAAATTATGACACCCCTACCTCCCCAGAACAAAATGGGTGAACCTCCCCCCCTCCCCACCTTAAAATATCATCATCACCCCCCAACCCCTAGCCATAAATTATGAACGGTCCCATACTGATGGGAAACTAAAATGTCTAATCTAAAAATGGCGAAGCACAAAAGCGAACAGCGCCAGTTCGCGGAAACTACTCATGCATATTTAAACGGGGTAGAAAAAATAATGAGCGCAAACATTTGCTTGTTTCAAGTCGTGCGAATAGGGTATCGGGTGGCAAAAAATGACAGCTGAGTAAGGGCAATAGGCCTATAGATCGTGACCGGTAGAGAGGTCCCCAAGAGAGCGGATAGCCGTCCCTTGACACACCGCCAATCGCATCTCAGTCCACGGGGGCGGTGGGGTAGCCTAGAGGTTACAGCGTTCGCTCGTCACGCCAAAGGCCCGGGTTCGATTCCCCGAATGGGTACAATATGTGAAGCCTATTTCTGGTGTTCCCCCGACGTAATATTGCTGGAATATTGCTAAAAGCGGCGTAAAACCATACTCACTCACAGCCCCCGATTTCGCTGCGTTGTTCAGTCTAGTACCATACGCTCTCACATAACCAGCTTTATTTTTTTTTCTCAGTTTAAACATTAAAATTTCATTGATTAAGATGTTGCATAATTAGACAGTAAGAGAAGTGTCTGAGGTGAGGTGAGGTGAAATTGGGTTTAACGTCGTGCTTGAGAATATTTCGCTCATATGACGACTTGCATGCGTGTGTATGTGCGGCTGCTTGTACTAGCCCAGACTGAAGCTGGTTTTATAGTGCTAGCTATAGCCCACTGAGATACCATGCCGCAGTGAAGCAGAAATACTCCACTCAGACACATTATACTGACTCCGAGCCGACCAGTCCTTGTTGTACCCATGAATGCCCAGCGCCTGGCAGGGACCAACAAGTACCATTATTTTAACGTCTTTTGGTATGACGCGGTCAGGGATCGAACCCGCAACCTTCCGCTCTCCGGGCGGACGCTCTAACCACTATACCACGGAGGCGGTCCATAACCTCTTTAAGTGAAGCTGGTATGATGAACACGATCAAGCGAAAGACAAATGGTTAAATGACAGGATAAATCAAACACCTAACATTTTCATGAAGATGGTTCGAATCCCATGAAGAAATCCCATTACAACAGCCATGTATACAAACAATCTCCACATCAGCAACAGCAGAAACCCCCTTAACCCGGACAATTTGGTAATCCGGACGGTTGTATTGAGAACCGCAGACAGAAACGGGCTTCATACATTGTACCCATGTGGGGAATCGAACCCGGGTCTTCAGCGTAATTTGCGCACGCTTAAACCACTAGGCTACCTCACCGCCCCATATGTCGTACATACGAGTATAAATGACTTGAGTCTGTCATGAAACAATGTAAAAAGTATTAAGAATTTAAAAATAAGTTTCTAAATTTATCTCGCCAACAAGTAGTGTACATTTATCGAGAGGGGTCTTAAGTTACCTGTGACTTAAAAAATGATAGCATTTGAAACAGACAAACGATTCTACAGTTTACGTGGACAGCATAACCCTGTGTTATATTAGGAGAATGAATGTTACAGATAATGAAAATAGAAATGTTTATATACTCAGTTCCAAAAGAAACGCGAATCACGTGATTCAGTGGTGAATGGAGAGATTGATGCTTGTTTATGAAAACATGCATAGAAACAACGTGAGTCCTTAAAGTAAAGACACAAGGACATTTATACATGACCAGACGTGTTTTGTGATAATGTCAATAAGACGTCGTTAAATTGCACCATTTTAGGCTACCCCACTGACCCTCGTGACCAAAAGGCCCGTGTGAAGAATCGAACCCGGATCTACAGCGTGACGAGCGAAGGATTTAACCACTAGACTACCTCACCGCCTCCATATTCTAATCAGTCTTCTGCGCTAACTATCAAAAAACAAGTGCAAGGCGTGTCGCATCCATGGAACTAAATCCAGGACAAACATTCCGGTCCACTGTAGAGAACAAAAACCCACGAATATATTCAGATATATAATGATATATATTTTTGACAACAAACCCTTTCCTTATACAATGTCGTCAAATGCCGTAAACGATTATACCTATTACAGCGATACAAGGCTATGTAAAAAAACGCCATCGCCAATTTGACATACATATACACAATGTCAAAGAAACGGAGTACTGCCTTAGCATTGCCATTTTGTGTTGAGAGGTTTCCCAATCCTGCTCTTTTTTATGAAACACTTTTTTAATCAACGCCTATATTTCTAACATATAATTACAAGCATGCATGTGGGTCACATATGAATTAAATTATAAGTGTCGTCCGTATCCATGGGAGCTCGTGACTGTGGCTTCTCCTCGGTCTCACATGACGTAACAAACACAATGGAGTGAATCAGTCTTGCGACATCCCGGTGTAAAAAATACCTTCCCATAGTGAGACAGCAAATGTATTGTAAGGACGCTCTGGTTTCAGGCCAGCGTTTACCTCATGAAAACTTAACGACAATGGATACGCAAGGCAACACAATATGTGTTTACGAAATCCAATGTCGAATTATGAAACTTTTAAAAGACTTTTGTATTATGTACTCTTCAAAAAAAAAGTAGGGGAACCTGAACTTTCAATTTGAATAGGAAGTATAAGCGTTAATAAAAGTTTCAAAGACAGACATTTTTATGAACGTACCACCATTTCTCATTATCACCACCCCTAAACACAACGCATGGAATGCACGTGCACAACGCAGTAGACCTATACACGTGCATGGGGTGTGATTCTTGATTTTGAAGGTTTTCAAGGTCAATAAATCACTTTAGATCATTAATTTTGACAATCATCATGCATCACACAGTTGTTAGTGTTTGTTCTAGCCGGTGTTCTGTTTTGACAATCGAACACATGCCAATTTCACGTCATACACCAATCATCTTTCAAGAGCGATTACTGTACACACAACTATGGTCATAAGGAAGTGCAAGTGGCGATGTACTTTCAAAACATTCATTATTATCATATCAACATTGTTTGACTCCGATATATATCCCAATTATTTTCTATCGTAAAATGAAAAAGAATTTCTCCATAGGCGGATTCAGAGTGAGGTGAAGGGGTGCGCACCACACCCTCCATTTTGTCCTGAAAGTTTATTAAATGACCATTGAAAACGGATGAAAATGAAGTGTGCACTCCCTCCCCTTCCCCTTTCTTTATAAGCTGTATCCGCCCCGTTCCCGAACTTTATTTCAGAGCATATATTTCTCAACGGGTAACGGTTGGGTAGGTTTAGAGAACAGGATCAGGGACTGTGGGTTTGATTCTTTAATACGAATCTTTGATAGTGACCGATGGTGTATCAACACGTAGTTATCTACGACTTGTATCATGATCTTTCATGCAGTATGAGCTCTGTCACATCATGTTATACCTTAAGTACCGATCAAAGAGGGGGCGAACCAAACACATTCTCGCTGCTCAGATCGTTATTTCAAACCGATTCACGTGTTGCTGTACGGCTTCAGTAACGTTAAATCCTAACTCACCCCGTTCTGTGGCCTGTGTCTCCTTGAGCTCTCTTCCCATTTGCAGTGTTAACTGAACCATGGCTTATATAACCACATGAAATTAATCACTCACTTCCAGGCAAAACAACAACACATACACCTCCCAAAAACCAACGAACCAACCAACTAACAAATGAAATAAATATAATAGAATAAAGATGAAATAAATATAATTGAATAAATAAATAAATAAATAAATAAATAAATAAATAAATAAATAAATAAATAAATAAATACAAACAAATAAATAAAAAAGAAAAGGAAAGGAAAGTACCCAGAAGATATTAAACCCAAACTCCGTAATGTTATTTGGTGTATTTCATTAAAGGCTGTTGATATCATCTGGCTTTCACAAGACTTCTCTTTGAAGCTTCGTATGTGAAAACGTGATTAATGTTGCACGCCCTATGATTAACATACATGTATGTAATGCTACACCTTGAGAATCAACATGTCGCTGGCGACTGAGAGGGAGAGCTAATGTGAAATACTCCATAACAAAAATGTCATAATTCCTGGCGACTGAGGAGGTACGTATGCAGGAAATCTTAAATGTGAGTGGGCATGGTTCTTTATGAAATATTTCGCCATAACATAACATTAATGCAGGTATTTCACATAATATAGCAATGATGAAATCGATTCGAAGTTGTAAAGGAAGTGAGTAAGTGAATGAGTATGGTTTTACGCCGCTTTGCAATATACATGTATGTAGCGGACACTCGAGCTCCGGGCGGACGCTCTAACCACTACACCAAGGGATTTACAACTTGTACCCATGGGGAAT